CCGCCCGCCCTCCTGCAGAGTGCCCCCCAGTTCCCCTCCCCCCGGGCTCTGTTCCGCTGCTGCTTTGCAGCATTTTAGGAGCTTTCCTACTTCCTGCCGAGTCTCTGAGCAGGTCTCAAGATGGCCTGGTTGCAGGATCCCGGCCGGGCTGGGGCTGCAAAGAACTCCCCAAAAGCAGAAGTCGGCACAGCTGGCTGACCCTGCCTTGCTGCCTTCTTAGTTCATGGAAAGGCTGCTCTGGAAATGCAGCGGTCAGGCCGAACCAGGGATGCAGGCCCCAGAGAACCGCCTGCCCTGTGGGGGAGAGGGGGGGAGTGGAGCTGTCAGGGGAGACGGGAGCACATCCGTGGAGAGACAGAACCGCAGAATCCGAGGGAGAAGTCGGCACAGCTGGCTGACCCTGCCTTGCTGCCTTCTTAGTTCATGGAAAGGCTGCTCTGGAAATGCAGCGGTCAGGCCGAACCAGGGATGCAGGCCCCAGAGAACCGCCTGCCCTGTGGGGGAGAGGGGGGGAGTGGAGCTGTCAGGGGAGACGGGAGCACATCCGTGGAGAGACAGAACCGCAGAATCCGAGGGTGGGAACAAACCTCAAGAGGCATCAAGTCCAGCCCCCTGCCCAAGGCAGGACCAACCCACCTCAATCATCCCAGCCAGGGCTTGGTCAAGCCGAGACTTCAAAACCTCCAGGGATGGAGATTCCACCCCCTCCCTAGGGAACCCATCCCAGTGGAGTTTTTCCTAATTTCCAACCTAGACCTTCCCCACTGCAACTTGAGCCCATTGCTCCTCGTTCTGCCATCTGCCACCCCTGAGAACAGCCTCTCTCCATCCTCTTTGGAACCCCCCTTCAGGAAGTTGCAGGCTGCTGTCAAATCCCCCCGCACTCTTCTCTTCTGTAGATAAGACACCCCAACGGTGGGTCTACACGGCTGTAAAACCCCTCACGGCACTGGGTCGCTGAACTGGGCTCAGCTGAGTTGGGCCGGCGAGGCTAATAACAGCAATGTACTCATTCGGGCTCGGTCTGGAGCCAGGTGGGGTGGGGAGGGGGGTTCTGAGGCCTCCCCCCCGTAGGTCAAGTGGGAACCTCAACACTGAAATTTTGAAGCTCTGCAGCCAGAGCCCGGCAGCCCAATCAGCTGGCCCGTGCCAGCCGGGGCCTAGTCTTTTGCGGCAGGGGGGATCTGGGCGTGAGCCGGGTGACACACGAGGTGCACGGTTAACAGAGTTGAGTCCTGACTGGGCTGCTGGGTCCAACCTCCTCATGGACTCTGGGAAGTTTCGAACTGGGGGATGGAGCTGGCTGCTGGGTCCAGGTCTAGCTTCCGAAGAGAGTCAGGGGGCCAGATCCCCCATGGGTGTGAACTGGCGTCAGCGCCCTTTGGAAAGGACCCTGTGCAGCAGAGTCAGGAACATCAGATTCCCCTTTCTCTGGCTCTCCTGTGCCTGCGGCGTCTCTCCGCATTGACCGCAGTGTGAAAGCAATCAGGCCCCTGTGATGCAGCCGGAGACTGGGGGACTCAAGCTGTTATTAACAGAGGCGGTTCTTTCTCTTGTCCGTCCGTTGACCCGTTGACGCATTGTACAGGTGAGATCTCCCTGGTCCGGCAACCTTGGGACCTGAGTGGTCCAGAGCAAGAGAGTTTGCCGGACCAGGGGAGGTCAGGCTCCAGGGCTCCCCTCCTGGCCTGCCAGATCCACCCAGCGCTGCTGCCCCTGGGCTGCCTGCTAGGGTCCGCTGCCCCCAGCATGGTGGGGCTCTGACCCTGCCCCCCAGCCTTGGGGCTG